GGACTCCAAACAAACCCTAAACCCTAAACCCTAAACCCTAAACCCTAAACCCTAAACCCTAAACCCTAAACCCTAAACCCTAAACCCTCACTTGAGAACCCGAAAAAAATCAGTGCGTAGCTTCATGCTGTCCGTAGGCCGTGAACGACGAGCTCGACGCCTCGGCGATGACGCGGCGCTCCAACAACAGGTCGCTTTCAGGGCGTCGGGGGTTTAGGGTTTAGGGTGCAGGGTTTAGGGTTTAGGGTTTGGGGTTTGGGGTTTGGGGTTTGGGGTTTGGGGTTTGGGTTCAGGGTTTAGGGAGGGGTTTAGGCTTCGAGTGCAGGGGTTTCGGCTTTATGAATGTTTCGGGGCTTAGGGATAGGATTTTTCTGGGAATCCACTCCTCCAGCCACCCTAAACCCTAAACCCTAAACCCTAAACCCTAAACCCTAAACCCTAAACCCTAAACCCTAAACCCTAAACCCTAAACCCTAAACTTAAACCCTAAACCCTAAACCCTTCGGCACCAGGAAGTTTATCCCAACCCCAACCCCAAACCCTCAACCCTAAACCCAAAACCCTATACCCTAAACCCTAAACCCCAAGCCCCAAACCCCAATCCCTAAACCCTAAGCCCCCCCCAAAATCTGACCAGTTGGTTTAGGGCGTAGGGCTGAGGGATTAGGGTTTTAGGGCTGAGGTCTGAGGGCTTAGGGCTGAGGGTTATCAAGGGAACACTTGGCCGCTACGAAGTGTGATGCAGGGGTCTGGGTACACCCCCCCCCCCAAAAAAAAAAAAAAAAAAAACTGAACCCCTACATCCTAGACTCCAGACCCCTGACTTGACTCCAAGCCCCGAACTCTAAACCCCCAAACTCACACACTCCCCAAGCCCCAAAGCTTAACACCCTCAACGTCCACCGCAAAAGGAAGCCCAAGCTCACCTAAACCCTACACCCTAAACCCTGAACCCTGAACCCTAAGCCCTGAGCCCTAAGCCCTAAGCCCTAAGCCCTAAGCCCTGAGCCCTGAGCCCTGAGCCCTGAACCCTAACCCTAAGGGTCCATGTACCTCATTATATATACTTTTGCCCCAAAGTCCCATATAGGAAGTACGTTAGAGCCCGAGTATTTCCCTATCTTGGTACATGGACCCTTAGAATAAACCCCGAACCCTGAACCCTAAAACTGGGTTGTGCTTTGGGACAATTCTAACTTTCCCTTCTTTCCTCAGAAGGGACGTATTCACAAATAATTTTCAAAGTGTTTCAAGCACAAGTAAACCCTAAACCCTGAAACCCAAGAGCCCCAAGCCCTGAACCCTAAACCCCTAAACCCTAAACCCCAAACCCCAAACCCTAAACCCTAAACCCTAAACCTAAACCCTAAACCCTGAACCCCAAACACCCTGAACCCAAGAGCCCAAGAGACCAAGCTAACCACGGGTCCGGGGTGCAGGCAGCCGCACACAGCGCGTGGCGGCCCTGGGTCGGACTTGCTGGGCTTATGAGGGGTTTAGGGTTCATTAGGGTTTGGGTTTAGGGTTTGGGGTTTGGGGTTTGGGGTTTAGGGTTCAGGGTTTAGGGTTTAGGGTTTAGGGTTTAGGGGGGCTTTAGGGATGTTTTTGGGTTTTTTTTATGGGGGGGGGGGGGGTTTCGGGTTGGGTTTAGACAGCTTAGGTTGCACCAAGGGTTTGTAGGGCTTAGGGACCTAGGTTTTTCGAACTTTGCTATCATCTCAATTTACAAAAACCTTGAACCCCACTGATTCGCCGAGACGAGGCGCTCTCCCGACCGAAGACATGCTTTAGGGTTTAAAAGGTTTAGGGTTTTAAGGGTTTTGAGGGCTCAAAGGGCTTTACGGGTCTAAAGGGTTTGGAGGGTTTTGGGTTCCCTGAAAGTCGTGTCCTACATAATATCGGGGTCGGAATAATTACGAAAAGTATCCCTTAGGGTCCCTCTAGAATTGTACTATAATAACCCCCAAAACCTTCTTCTAATACTTTTCAGGCCCCTATATTGCTCGGCTTCTGGATAAGAGAACCAGAACTCAGACAAAAAAAGACTAAACCCTGAAGCCTGCAAGCCCGTGAGTCGGCTTAGTGTTGTCAAATGGGTTTAGGGTTTAGGGTTTAGGCTTTAGGCTTTAGGCTTTAGGGTTTAGGGTTTAGGGTTTCGCCCCCAGTAGTAGTACTACAGGATCCCATAGCTCCCAGACCATAAAAAACCCAAGAACCCAAAGCCGCTCTATGTAGCCCATACAGGTACTTGGACAGAGAACCTAGATCCGAAACTCCCTGCCAAGAACCCGCAGGTACGGTCCACACCGTAAACCCCCTGACCCTAAACCCTCAACCCCTAACCCTAAATCCCCTAGCCCTAAACCCTAAACCCTAAACCCTACACCCTACACCCTAAACCCTAAACCCTAAACCCTAAACCCTAAACCCTAAACCCTAAACCCTAAACCCTAAACCCTAAACCCTAAACCGCAGCTGAAGGCTGAGCTCTGAAGTGGCAGACAGGGAGGGCACACCAGACCGCCCTAAACCCCCGACTTGGAGGTTTAGGGTTTAGGGTTTAGGGTTTAGGGTTTAGGGTTTAGGGTTTAGGGTTTAGGGTTTAGGGATTGTAACTGTACTTGCAAGCTCCCTGAGTTCCCAAAGTATGTGACCAGTAGACTGAGAATTGGGGTCATAAGCCATGAGTACCCATGACCCTCCTAGTAGAGCCCCCTTAAAAAGGCTTCAAACCCTAAAGCCCGAAGTGCCTTGGGTTAGTGTTCAGGAGCTTAAAGTCAGTTATCATCGTAGGATTTGTAGCGTATGCAAGGAACTTAATTAATATTGGGGGTTCTACTTTTTGGATCCTCCCAATGGGGTCTGGGTACAAGGGTTGAGCCAACCCTATTAATATTAAAGTTTTCATTTCCGGGGGATTCTACAGAATACAGTATCTTCATGAGCCTAGTAAACCCCCAGATTTGCCGGGTACCTCTTCACCGGGATCCCCCCCCTCCTGAAATCCAAAACCCTAACCCCACACCCGAACCCTAAACTAGTTCTAATCATTTGTCAACTTTCGGGGATTCAGTCACATGTCCAGAGTCGTTCTAGGTTTGTCTGCGGAGTGTTGGGGTTTTTGGGGTGTAGGAACCTCAGCTGCTGTTGGCGTTCTTGTGCTTGCACGACCATTGCACTAATCCCTAAGCCCCTAAACCCATCACTTTTCAGGGCTCACGGTTTGGGGGCCTTCCCTTCTGCGCCCGCCTTGCGCGGCCCCCCGCGACATTAGGGAATTATCCAGCAAAGGCTGCAACCCGCTGCTCAAGCAGCCCTGCACGCGTGGACTGCAAAACTGCCAGGTCCGCGCGAGGCAGTCGTTAGAGGCCGGGGGGCTGGAGCTTGCGAAACAGCGAGCTTCGAACCCGGCACAACCTGCAGGAAGCTACGGCTCAGGGTTTAGGGTTTAGGGTTTAGGGTTTAGGGTTTAGGGTTTAGGGTTTAGGGTTTAGGGTTTTGGGATACAGAATTGACCTGTCTAACTGCAGGGGAGCCACCACACTGCTGGCACGTTTGCTGGGAATCTACATCTGGTTCTTCATACCTGTGTGGTCATATCGGTTTAGGGTTTAGGGTTTAGGGTTTATAGGGTTTAGGGTTTAGGGTTTAGGGTTTAGGGTTTAGGGTTTAGGGTTTGGGGTTTAGGGTTTAGGGTTTAGGGTTAGAGTAACTGTCACTTCGGCTCATGATTCGCAGTCTTGAAGCTATACTTAACCCCTAAACCTGAAACCCCTGAACTCCAGACCCTACTAAACCTTTCTAAGGGGTACCTAGTCAAAGGCTAGGACCCCTTCTGGATGGCGAACGTGCTGCTGCGTTTGCAGGGAAAACAGGCCTCTCGAGGAGTATGAATATAGTCCCTAGGCAAGTTTTCCTGTAGCAAATGGACAAAGAGTAGTGTGGGAGTGGTAGAGACCTGATGGCTATAAGGGCCTTCCTTCTGGGGCTGGTATATTTTTTGGGCAACGGCACGAACACGACGTCATCCAGACCATCGGTGACTGAAGGTACGATGTATTAGGCTGGCAGGGAACCCTAAACCCTATCTCCCAGATCCCCCTAAGCCCGAAACCCGAAACCCTGAACACCGCAGATGTGCTGCTGCTACACATTTTTGAAGGTTGCTACGCCTTGGCTTGATAGTTCAAGCTGGGTAAGTAGGGTTTAGGGTGTGGGTTCTAAGTGGGTAAGTAGGGCAACTGTAGCTACGACTGCCTAGAAGCTTCGTCGGGGTACTTGTACCCCTACCTATATCTACCCATGAAACCCCAAGCACAATCCCGCCATTAGGGCTTAGGGTTTCAGAAATTTGAAGCTCTAAACTCCGAACTGTGAGAAGTGCTTCTAGCATAGGGCGTTGTGCGAATCGCTTGGCGCAGGCTTAGAGGCATTGTAGGGTTTAGGGTTTAGGGTTCAGCCTAGCTCCTGGAAGTGTGAACCTTGTACCAGCTCAAAGGCGGCTACTACGAGGATTTAATGGTCAACAATTTGTATCTGTGAGCTACCCTAAGAATCCACAACTTGCCGTTTTGTAGGTTAGTATGACAAAGCCCCTTGTAGGATTCCTGGGCAACCTAAAAAAACTAGGTTCTGGGCTCTGGGTTCGTAAGATAAACCATCAACACTATCAGCAACCTGTCATGGGACTCTTGCTTCGGATTGAAGCGTACGCCAGTCGTAGGTTTTTCTACGGTTCTACATCAGGACGTCTCATAGAACTGTGGTTAGTCCACAAAGAATCTGATACTTTGAGTTCCAAGATATAGATGACGTCTGAAATCTTGGGGCTCAGGGTGCAGGATTTGTAGCTTTACGGCTCAGATTGCATCCCGGTTCTTCTTGTTCGGCCCCTTCACAAAGCGCTGCACTGCAAAGAAGCACAGATTAGCTTTCAGATACAGTTGTACTCTCTATCTCTCGGAGTTGCGCAACCTTTTTCAAGTTGCGCTGTAGCATCCATGGCTGCGAGTGGAGGCGTGTTCGCCTACAAGCACAGCGGTCAAACATGTCGATGGCACGTTCGCTTCCCTGGTACGACACACAAGGATTTTGTGGCATCTGTAGGGAATGAAGAGCGAGAGGATGCAGAGGTGCTCCTTGCCATACTGCGGTCGCTGGAACCTGCTGAACGCGACAATAAGGCCCTTCGGGACATTTGCAAAAAGCAGCTAAGCCGCCTCCAGCAGGAGAGGTGGAGGAACGATACCGCGCCGGAGGATGCACCTGCGGCGTCAAGGGCAACCTCTCCACTTCAGCTGGAGTTGGATTGTGAGTTGTGCTATGAAGTTTTCAACGAGACAGATCGCGCACCTGTCGTGGGCATTTGTGGACACACTTTCTGTCAGGCGTGCATAAAACAGCTTATGGGCGAGCGTCAGAGTTACGATTGTCCGACCTGTCGAAAGACCTGCAAGAGTGACGAGTGCGCCAAGAACATTTGGCTTGTTCAGAACCTGGCAGCTCTTCTTCAACAACGAGACTCAGTGAAGCTGTCAGTGCCGGCGTGCTCCGAGCCTCCGTCCGCGAAGCGGCAGCGCACAGAGCGAGACGAGCCAATTTCTACTGTCCATAGACAGCCAGAGTTCTCTCCACAACCTGAGCGAGAGGCGGCTTGCCCAGGCGCCGACCATGGCAGCTCAAACCATGGCACGGATAGTGTATCGTCTTCTTCCCAGCATACTTGGTGGGCAGTCCAGATTTCCTCGGAGCCACCGTTGCTGCCATCCGGATGGTCGCAGTGCAAAGACGCAGCAAGCGGACGTGTCTACTATTGCAATGAACGCACAAGGCAGAGCTTCTGGGACCTGCCAGCCGCTTTGCCACCAGGATGGGACCAGGCCCTGGACAAGAGCAGTGGACGTGTCTACTACTACAATGAACGCACAGGGGAGAGGTTCTGGGACCTGCCAGCCCCTTTGCCACCAGGATGGGACCAGGCCCTGGACAAGAGCAGTGGACGTGTCTACTACTACAATGCACGCACAGGGGAGAGGTTCTGGGACCTGCCAGCCGCTTTGCCGCCAGGATGGGACCAGGCCCTGGACAAGAGCCGTGGACGTGTCTACTATTACAATGCACGCACAGGGGAGAGGTCCTGGGACCTGCCAGCCGCTTTGCCGCCAGGATGGGGCCAATACCTGGACAAGCGCAGCGGACCCTAAACCCTAAACCCTAAACCCTAAACCTTAAACCCTAAACCCTAAACCCGATGTTTATTACTGGAATGGTACAACAGGCGAGACGAGATGGGAGGTGCCGACAACCTTGGGCCAGGAGCAAGGTGAAGGCCGACATGTGCTTGCGGCTTAAAGGAAGACTACGAATTGCTTAAGAACCTCCCCAAAAACATAGACAAGGCTCTTCCTTATAAGGTAATTGGTTATTTTGGGGTTCTTAAGCAACTAGTAGAAGGTGCAAGAAGAGAAGGATATCTTAGGGCGTTTGGGACGCCTGCGTATGTGTTTCTGATACCAGCATGCTGTGATTCCAACTGTCATGGCTTCAGGAGCTTTATAGTTGCGACGTGCGTGGCTCAAGCCAGATGGTTCTAGTATGAGTCATGGGCACGTGCTGAAGTTGTAGTTTCCCAGCTTCGCTCAAGGCCAAAACCCTCTGTAGAGTAGAAATGGAGGAGGCCATAACTACGGGCCCAACGGTCCAGAATTCCTGGTCAAACTGTTGGAGCAGCTCTGGCATTTCTCGCCCTTAAAACGCCCGTGTGTGTGGGCTGACATCCATCCAGCGCAGCAGGTCTTCAAAACTCGAGTACCCGAAGCCCTAAACCCTAGACCCTTTGAAAAAAAGGGTTGTCGAGCATCCTCCCATGCCGTTCACGCCTTCGCCGCATGAATGGGTACAAAGCTGACCCATGCCTTCTGCTGCTGGTGACCTGCTTGCTGATCCTGGTAGACGAGGTGGGGTTTGGGGTTTTGGGATTGGGGCTGAGGGTTTGTAGCGAATCCTTAGACCCCTCCACTAGCCCTATAGAGCTTAAACCTCAGGTACCATCCAAAGTGGTGGTGGAGAAACATGCCAGCGAGCTGGACCTGAACTGCGAGAGCTACGAGGAGGGTTGAGGGTGAATGGCGTAGGGATTTAGGGCTTTGGGGTCCAGGGTTTAGGGTCTTGAGAGTAGGGCATTCGGGTGTAGGGTTTGAAGGCTTAGGGTGTTCAGGTTTTGGGGTGTTAAGGTGTTCGTTAGGATTTTAGCGGGGTTTTGGGCTTAGGGCTTTGGTGTTTACAATTTTTTTTCTACAAGAGGCGTTCGGGGGGTAGTGCCAGGGCGGCAGTTGCTGCCCCGACCCATCCCTTGGCCAGGCCCCCAAAGCCTCAAATATACCCTCTCATGAATGCCTTGCGTAGGGTCTAGCCCAAAACCCTCAACCCGAGCCCCAAACCCGAAGCCCCTAAACCCTGAACCCTAAATCCTGAACCCTAAACCCTAAACCCTGAACCCTGAACCCTAAACCGTAAACCCTAAACCTTAAACCCTAAACCCTAAACCCTCAACCCTAAACCCTCAACCCTAAACCCTAAACCCCAGCCCTATCTACTTATTTATCTGTGACTAACTCAAGCCTAAGCCCTGCTAACTAAACCCTAAACCCTAAAACCTAAACCCCAAACCCCAAACCCCAAACCCTAAACCCCAAACCCTTAACCCTAAACCCTAAACCCTAAACCCGAAAAACCGAACAATTCACGAGCCGTGACAAGGACGGAGTCGACTGGCCGCTGGTTCGCGAGCAACTGCTGACCTTCCTGCGGAGGCCCAACAAGGGTTTAGGGTTTAGGGTTTGGTGGCGTTTAGGATGCTTAGGGTCTTGGGGTTTAGGGCTTTAGGGTGTAGGTTTTAGGGGGTTTAGGGTTTAGGGTTAGGGTTTAGGACTCTTGGGTTGTGGGGTTTGGGGTTCAAGGCTTTGCGGTTTGCAGTCAGATAGGGTTTAGGGTTTAGGGTTTAGGGTTTAGGGTTTAGGGTTTAGGGTTTAGGGTTTAGGGTGTAGGGTGTAGGGTGTAGGGTTTAGGGTTTAGGGTTTAGGGTAGCTCGGGGGCGTTCTTGGATCCCAGCAGCGCCAAATGCAGAGGCCAGCCGACGACCATCCGTTCCTGTCCTCCCTGCTGGCCGTCGGCCGAAAGCGGTCGGACTGCCCCGCAGCAGCGTAGCAGGGTTTAGGGTTTAGGGTTTAGGGTTTAGGACTTGCTTATTAAAATGGTAGTAGCATGATCTGGCAATATATACAAATGCAACAAGAGGTTGTAATAGTGTAGCAGTAATTAACATAAGGTGTGGGATTCAGGGTTAACGCCCTCACAGAGAGCATCCACAGGTTTCAACGGACTCCCGCTGTTTCTGGTTGCCTTGGGGTTCTTCCAACCGTGCTTTGTTTTCCCTGCGGGGTATGAGAAAATAGAACGTTTAGGGTTTAGGGTTTAGGGTTTAGGGTTTAGGGTTTAGGGTTTAGGGTTTAGGGTTTAGGGTTTAGGGTTTAGGGGGCTCTGAAAACACAGTAATGCTGCGATTTATGCCCTTCGTTGCAGCGTCTGAAAAACCCAGAAATGCTGCTATATACATTTGATGTCAGAAATGCTGCTACGTACAGTATTTGCAGCCAACGCAACGCAGAAACTCTGCTATTTGCAGTACTTGAAGCCTCTGACGCAGAAATGCTGCTATTTACAGTATTGGAAGCCGCTGACAACACAGAAATGCTGCTATTTACAGTCTTGGAAGCTTCTGACAACGCAGAAATGCTGCTATTTACAGTATTTGAAGCCTCTGACAACGCAGAAATGCTGCTATTTATAGTATTGGTGCAGAATTTGCAGCCTCTGACAACGCAGAAATGCTGCTATTTACAGTATTTGCAGCCTCTGACAACGCAGAAATGCTGCTATTTACAGTATTTGAAGCCTCTGACAACGCAGAAATGCTGCCATTTGAAATATTTGAAGCCTCTGACAACGCAGAAATGCTGCTATTTACAGTATTTGCAGCCTCTCTAAACGCAGAAGTGCTGCTTTTTACAGTATTTGCGAAGCCAAGCTGAGCCACACCTTTTAAAAAAAAGCGTCCGAGCCACACCTTTTAAAAAAAGAACCCCCCCGCCGGTTTAGGGTTTAGGGTTTAGGGTTTAGGGTTTAGGGTTCCAACCTTAGCTAAGTGGGGCTCGGCCTGCGGCGTCTGCACTGCCATGCGGGGGGCCCCCCCCCCGCCTTTGTTGACACAGACTTGTCTCATCGGAAGGAACCCTAAGTCCTCTGAACCCTAAACCCTAAACCCTAAACCCTCAACCCTAAACCCTAAACCCTAAACCTTATCAGCCGTTTATAAACCCCAAACACCTTACAAACCCTGTAAACCCTATAAACCCTGTGAACCCCGTAAACCCCGTAAACCCTGCAAACCCCGTAAACCCTGTATACCCTACAACCCTAAACCCAGGCTACATTGGCCTCTGCTGCCTGGGCTATCTCGCCATTGTGTTCATGCCGCCCGAGAAGAGGCTGAAGGCAAGGTGCCTAAGGTTTGGGTTTAGGTTGTAACGTTTAGGGCAAGCACAGAGTCAAGAAGATATGACCCATGGTCTGAGTTAGTCTTGAAATCTTGACAAGCTCTTACCCAGAGCATTCCAGCACTTAGCCCACAAAAGTCCAACCTCGCAACCGCGCACTCCGACATAGTGGTGGCAAAGTAACTTCGAGGTACATGAGTTGTCATGACCCCTCCTTTGAATCTGCCCATGAGCATGGACCTTCAAGCAACCCTTGAAAACTGCGCCCCGCCAAACCCTCAACCCTAAACCCTACACCCCAAACCCTAAACTCTGAATCCTGAACCCTGAACCCCGCCGGGCCTGAAAGGCCATGTCCAGCACCCTCTTCGGGAGTGTGCCGCTGTGGGATCAGATCCCGCTCTCCTACTGGGACACCATCAATAGCAAGTGGCCCATCTTCGGTCTCTTGGAGGCGGGGACCCTTTTGATGAAGAGGGTTTAGGCCTTAGGGTTTAGGGTGGGATGAAGAGGGTTTAGAGCTTTTCAGGCAGCGTTTGGGGTTTTCAGGTTTTGGAGCTTTTGAGGTTTAGGGGGTTTAGGTTGCAGGGTTTTGGGGTCTCAGTGGCTAGGGGTGTTAGGGTTTAGCGGCCAAAGGGCCCCATGTACCCCTGAATTGTAGATACACCACCTCAATCCCAGACCCTAATCCAGGAAACCCTCAAACCCACACCCCAAAACCAACACCCCTCAAACCCCTAAACCGAAACCCCAAAGCCCCCAACTCCCAAACCCCAAACGCTCCAAACCCCCGCCCCTCCAGCGTGTTCAAACGGAGGTTTTTGGGGGTGGTTTTCCTTTGGTAAATACGACTATCAGCTTCCAAATAAACCCGGTTTAAGCTGTACCACCCCCCCCCCCAACCCCGCCCCCAAACACCCTTCCACGCCTAACGCCTAAACCCCAAACCCTGAACCCTGAACCCTAAACAGTAAACCGTAAACCCCGAACCCTCAACCCTCAACCCTCAACCCTCAACCCTGAACCCTGAACCCTAAACCCTGAACCCTAAACCCTAAACCCTAAACCCTAAACCCTAAACCCTAAACCCTACCACGCCAGGTGCTTCAAATGCAGCTGCGGAGCCAAGAGCCCGTGCGCTCCGAGGCTGTCGACGGATGCTGCTTGGGTGCCCTTGGGGGTTTCGAGGGTTTTGAGGGTTTTAGGGGTTTTAGGGTTTAGGGTTGAGGTTTAGGGTTTAGGGTTTAGGGTTTAGGGTTTAGGGTTTAGGGTTTAGGGTTTAGGGTTTAGGGTTTAGGGTTTAGGGTTTAGGGTTTAGGGTTTAGGGTTTAGGGTTTAGGGTTTAGGGTTTAGGGTTTAGGGTTTAGGGTTTAGGGTTTAGGGTTTAGGGTTTAGGGTTTAGGGTTTAGGGTTTAGGGTTTAGGGTTTAGGGTTTAGGGTTTAGGGTTTAGGGTTTAGGCTTTAGGCTTTAGGCTTTAGGCTTTAGGCTTTAGGCTTTAGGGTTTAGGGTTTAGGCTTTAGGCTTTAGGCTTGGGATTTAGTGCCTAGAGGGTCTGGGGGGAGGGGGGGGGGCTTTTCGGCTTGGTCTCTTGCCTGTGTTGGCTTTTAGCGCTTAGGGATTTTGGGGCTTCTTTTGGGGGCTGTAATCAGGGAATCCAAAACCCCTTAATGAAGGAATATACCTTAAATCAAATTAGGGTTCCTACTATAAATTAAGGTATATTGCTTAATTAAGGGGTTTTGGAGTCTCTGGGTAATCGGGCTTCAGGGACCCTGAAGCTCCCCCCCCAACTAAGGCTGCGACCGGATGGAGGAGCTCGACCGGCGCTTTCACCAGGTGGGTTGCCCACACTTGAAACCCTAAACCCTAAACCCTAAACCCAAAACCCTAAACCAAAAAAAGTCAAGGGTTTAGGGAAACTTTGAGGTCTAGGGAAAGTTAGGGGTCTGGGGCTGGACTGCTTGAAGGGTCTCAGGCACGAAAAAAGAACGGTTGCAAATAAGGTGGCTAAAGAGATGTTCTGGGATTTCAGGGCTGAGGGACAAAGGAGCCTTTTCTGCAAAAGAAACTCTAAGGGTAGCTTCATGTGTCCTAATATATTGTCCCTTACCCTCGTTAGAAACCCTGAACCCTGAACCCTGAACCCTGAACCCTGAACCCTGAACCCTGAACCCTGAACCCTGAACCCTCAACCCTCAACCCTCAACCCTAAACCCTAAACCCTAAACCCTTCCCTTGTGCCTGGGCTCCCACTAAGAGTCATTGAGCCAAACAAGGCATCCATCCTCCTGCAGCTGGAAAACCTGCCCAGCTCCTGCACCAAACAACCCTAAACCCTAAACCCTGAACCCTGAACCCTGAACCCTAAACCCTAAACCCTAACCCTAGACACAACCCTAAACCCTAAACCCCTCCCCCCCCCCCCCCCCCCCTCCCCCTGAACAAAAAAAGGAAACGGGAACAGCTTCACACTGCACGCAGGTCTTGGATAGCCACCTCTCAACAGGACAGTACGTCCCGACGCACTCGTCGTTGAGGACGGGCATCAGGGGTTCGTGAAGCTAGTGCCCTCAGATGTCAATCCCAAAAACTCCTCAACCCCTTCTCAACCACCAACAACAATCCTCAACCCTTGAATCTATCAGCTCTCATCCCCGAAACATCTACAAACCCCGCAAAGCCTAAGCCTTCCATTCCAAACCTCCAAACCCCGGTTTAGGGGGTTTAGGCTTTAGGGTTTAGGGTTCAGGGTTCAGGGTTCAGGGTTTAGGGTTTAGGGTGTAGGGTGTAGGGTTTAGGGAAGGAAAGACCCTCCTCCTTCCGCCGGTTCTGGAAGGGTTGCAACCTTTAGACCTCTCCCTGTGCAGGCTTGATTCTGGGGGGGGGGGGGGGGGGGGGGGTCTCTGGGTTTGGGTTAAAGGGTTTGGGGTATGTAGTTCTGGAGTTCAGGGGTTGGGTTTTGTGGAATTGCAGGTTCAAGTGTTGAGGTCCATGGGGTTGGATGCTTGTTCGGTTATGGGCTTGGGAGCGTTTACCCTCTAAACCCTGCCCCCTAAACACCCTGAACCCTAAGCCCCCTGAAGCCTAAACCCCCTACAGCCTAAACCTTAAGCAACCTAAACCCTATGATCATCCTAAACACCCTACCCTACACCCCAAACCCCAGCACACAACCAAAAGCGCCCTAAACCCTAAACCCTAAACCCTAAACCCTAAACCCCAACCTAAACAGCAAACACAACCCAATGCGCCCTTAAAACCCCCTAAACCCTAAGCCCTAAGCCCTAAACCCTAAACCCTAAACCCCAAACCCCAAACCCCAAACCCCAAACCCCAAACCCCAAACCCCAAACCCTAAACCCTAAACCCTAAACCCTAAACCCCCTCTGGGCAGGTTCCTGGCGGAGTCCCCTTCGCGCTGCTCCTTCGGCAAGGCCGCAGCTTACGTGTCCCTGGGCGACGCTTGGATCCTCTACTTTGCTTCTTTTTGGAGCTTCAGGGTATTTGGGGTTTAGGGCTTAGGGTTTAGGGTTTTTTGTGGGGGTTTAGGGTTTTGGGGTTTAGGGTTTTGGGGGGACTACACCCCGACCCAAGGAGCGGCTGCTCCTCCTCGCGTCCCCGGTCCTGACGCAGGCTCAGGGCTTTGGGGGTGCAGTGGTACGCATATAAGGCGACCCTAAACCCTAAACCCTCAACCCTAAACCCTAAACCGCCCTAAGCCCTGAATTCTGAGCCCTGGGAATCATGGCTGGGAATCAGGGTTTCAGAGGGCTTTTTTTAGGACACGGGTTCAGGCCTTGACGGGTTTGGGGCTTAGGGTTTAGGGTTAGGGGTTTACGCGTAGGGTTTGGGGTGCGGTGGCTGGCCAACACCCTCAAGCGGGGCCTTTGAGACGAGTGCGGCTCGACAGATTCCAGGAAGCTCCACCAACTCTGAACCCTAAACCCTAAACCCTAAACCCTAAAACTCATGAGGGACTATCCCCTACTCCGACCTCCCTGGCGAGCGTTTTCGCATGTCGGACCATGCCCGCCACCAGGCGCTTCAGAGCGTTGCATGCACTGGACTATGGCCCCGTTCGTTAAAGCCAAAAAAACCCAAGTGGATGTTCGCACGGAGGGTGTACGGACCTCGTTACCCTAAACCCTAAACCCTAAAACCTAAACCCTAAACCGTTTGGTCCTGGAATGTTCTGTCTCTGAACCCTCTACAAATCTTGGGGAGTGGGCGGTAGGGGGGAGGGCGGCGGCAGAGTGTAGGGTTTCGGGCTTTAAGTTTGGGGTTCTGTCGGCTTCGAGCATTAAACCAGATTCACACCCCAACCCATGTGAGGCCTAACCCATTGGGAAGGGTGGCTCTAAATCCCGGTAAAACCCAGCAGTTACGCTTTGAGTTGCGCTTCATCCGCTGGCGGAAACACGAAATAACCAACAAGTAGTCCATCAACCCTAAACCCGAAACCCAAAGTATCCCTAAACCCTTAAGGCCTTATGAGTCCCCAAGCCCCAAACCCTAAACCTGAAACCCTAAGCCCTAAACCCTAAACCCCAAACCCTAAACCCTAAACCCTCTATCCCTAAACCCGAAACCCTAAACCCCAAACCCTAAACCCTAAACCAGGCCGCCAAAGACCTGCTGGCCCTGGGGGAGGCGCAGCTGGACCGCTGCATGGCCCGGACCTCGACTTGCAAAGAGTTTAGGGTTTAGGGTTTAGGGTTTAGGGTTAGGATTTAGGGTTTAGTGTTTGGGGTTTGGGGTTTAAGATTTGTGGTTTAGGGTTTGGGGGCTTGGGGTTTCAGGTTTGGGTTTAGGGTTTGGGGTTTGTGGTTTAAGATTTGTGGTTTAGGGTTTGGGGGCTTGGTGTTTGGGTTTTGGGTTGTTTGGGTTTGGGGTTTGGGGTTTGGAGTTTCGGGTTTCCGGTTTGGGGGTTGGTGTTTAGGGTTTACGGTTTGGGGTGTAGGGTTTAGGGTTTGGGGTGTAGGGTATAGGGTTTGGGGGGCTTACTCAGGGTATAGTTAGTGCTTAAGTTTAGGTAGGCTTACAAGTATGTAGAAGAGATGTTTGGTTCCCACTTTGCAACTTCCGGTCTTCTCTGGCTTGGGGCTTGGATTCGTGAGTTCCCTGAAGCGGGTGAGCTGACTCACCCTCTGGGCCCTTCTAAAGGCCAAGGCCTCAACCCTTAGTGACCCTGGGCTTTGGAGTACTACACTTTAATACCTTTTTTGGTTTTGGGTTCCCATGATAGCCTACTTATACCTAAAAAGTATATACCTTTTTTTCCTGGGTCTAATTCAGAGGTAGGGCCCTCAACCCTCAGCCTTACCCTGAAAGCAATCCCCTTAACCCCTACAAAACTGCTTGAACCCGAGCTCCTTACTCCCTTTAGCCCCATAAACACCCCTCAAAGCTCTTCGCTCGAAACCCTAAACCCTAAACCCTAAACCCTGAACCCTAAACCGCAAACCCCAAACCCTCCAAACCCCTAAACCCCTTCAACCCCACCCTAGAAGCCCCTCGCAAGGTCGGGCGCAACGCCACGGTCTTCGACCAGATGCAGTCGGCCTGGCCGACTTGGAGTCTTCTTCGGCGAGTGGAGGCCCTCGCATGCTTTTTTGGGGCCAAGGGTTTAGGGTTTAGGGTTTGGTGTTTAGGGGTTTTGGGGTTATGGGTTTAGGAGTTAGGGTTTAGGGTTTAGTTGGTGTTTCTAAGCCCTAAATGATGTTGGAGGTGAAGGGTTTAGTGTTTAGGGTGAGTTTAAGGTTCAAGGGTCGGGGGGTTTGCAGGGTTTTGGGAACCCGTTGTACTTTTGGGCCTTACGCTTATGGAGCCTTCAACGGGTGATTTCGAAGAGGCTTCCGAGGCATTCTGCTTGAGGTTATGGAGTTTAGGCTTTAACCCTAAACACTAAAACCCTAAACCCTAGTTGGTGATTAAGGTTGAGGTTGACACGATGTAGGGGCCAGGGGGAGAGTTCAATGGGTATGGGAGGGGGTAAAGGGCTTCGGGTTCGGTGTTTGAGGGCTGTGGCTTGTTTGTTGACGGTTGGCTGGGTTGCGCCTTGGGATGTTCCCCCTTATACTAGTCCTTACTCGGGAATTTAGAACCCCAAACCCCAAACCCCAAACCCTAAACCCTAAACCCTATTATAATCCCTATCAAGGACTGTGAGTATAAGGGCAACCAGACACCGGGGCCCCAAGCCCGCCGTGTTGCGAGTCTTGAGCGTCGCCTTGGGCATCCTTTGGGGTTTAGGGTTTAGGGTTTAGGGTTTAGGGTCTAGGGTTAGGGTTTAGGGTTTAGGGTTTGGGGTTTAGGGTTTAGGGTTAGGGTTTAGGGTTTAGGGTTTAGGGTTTAGGGTTTAGGGTTTAGGGTTTAGGGTTTAGGGTTTAGGGTTTAGGGTTTAGGGTTTAGGGTTACTGCTTCTCAGCAGAGAGTCCCTGAAAGGAGCCGCGGTTCCTATGTGCCTAGGTCCCTCACTCTCTACAGCCCTTAGCCCATCAAACCGAAGCCTCAACCCCTAAACCCCGAAACCCCGAAACCCCGAAACCCCAAACCAAAAACCCCCAAACCCAAACCCTGCACCAAAAAACCCGATACAAAACCCTATAGAACCTGGGCTTTGGAGTACTATACTTTAATACTTTTTTGGGTTTGGGGTTCACATTATAGCTACTTATACCTAAAAAGTATATACCTTTTTGCCTGGGTCTACCCCAGAGGTAGGAAACTTGGAAGATCCAGACAACTGGGAGGCTGAGGGCTTCGTGCAGATCCCCTCGGAGAAGCTGCGGATTCCACCCGAGTGGTAGCCTCAGGACTGGCTGTTCTAGATTTGGGGTTTAGGCTTCAGGGGCTTAGGGGTTCAGAGTTTAGGGGTTTAGAGTTTAGGAGTTTAGAGCTTAGGGGTTTTGGGTTTTGGGTTTTGGGGTTTTGGGAAATTTGGGTACCCTTTTCGGGGTTCATGTTGTAAGTATGGCGGTATGTTGGGGGTTTGTTTGGGGAAGCCTTATTTTTTAGGAAGCACCTCTACAGCTCAAGGTACAGGGCTTCAGGGTCTACGTTCAGGTTCATGGGCGGTTCTACGGTTTGGGGAGAAAAACTGCAGCGTTCTTGGGAGATTTGGGGTCTACGTGGAGGTACGTGGGTAGTGAAACTGGGGGAGATAAGTAGGTTTAGAGCTAGCTGGGTACCATGAACCTACTTACAGCCACGCCTGAACCTGCAAGTAAGGGGGGGTTTAGGATCCCCCCGAACACATTTTCCGTGGGGCTTACCACCAACAGTGGCTTCCGGGGGTGGGTCGGCTTTGCTGGTGCCGATCAGGGCTTTAGTGCAGACCTTCGAGAGCGATGGTCTTCAGGCTCATGAACACCCAGTATAGGGTTTAGGGTTTAGGGTTCAGGGTTCAGGATTCAGGGTTTAGGGTTTAGGGGTTAGGGCTTAGGGCAACGACCCGTCAGAACCCCGTAAGGAAGTCCTTTTCATATCCCCAATGAGGCGCGTCAGGAAATTAGGGTTTGGGGGATTAGGGGGTTGAGGTTAGGGTTTAGGGTCTAGCAGCAGGGGCATAGGTGGTTTTGAAGTTAAGAGCCTTTACGTTTTGAGGTTCAGGGGGTTTTGGGTTCGGGGGTTGGGGTTTTTGACTTTCGGAGGTTTTGAGTTTGAGGGCTTGAGCGTTCAGGAGTTAATAGGGTTTGGGTTTTGAGTTTAGGGCTTAGGGCTGTGGCCTCAAGTTAAGTGCGCGGGGCAGAAGAAGGTATAGGGTTTGGATGTAGACTTTAGCATTTTAGTGCTTTATCGTCCCATTGTCCCCCGAAACCCTAACCCTGAACCCTCAACCGCTCGGCCTTTGGTCAGTTACACGGCTCCTCCGCTGCGTCCGGACGGGATCTCGGAACTTGAACATCCACAACAGCCTTAAGGTTCAGGGTCTGGAGTCTAGGGTTTTGGGGTTAACATATTTCCTGTGCTTGCAACACCACGTCTTAAGGCTTCAGAGTAGGGATTTCGGAGTTGCGTTTCAGAGTTCAGGCGGTTCCCCTGCCCCCCTCCCCCCCCCCCCCCCACACCTTCGGTTTAGGATTTAGGGATTAGGCACAATTAGTTTTTTGGGGGTTGTGTGGGTTTAGGGTTTAGGGTGTAGGTTTTAGAGTTTAGGGTTCAGGGTTTATGGTGTAGGGTTTAGGGTTTAGCGTTTAGGGGTAGCTCGGGTTGGGATAGTACAGGTCCCCATGACCTTCGGGTGTGAGCACGACCCGCTTTGCTGCCACATGTGCAGGCGTTTTCAGGGTTTAGGATTTAGGGTCTAGGGTTTAGGGTTCAGTTGAGGTTGCAATGTTTAGGGGGGAGATGCAAGCCTGCACCCGGACAAGCACAATCCAAACCCTATGAACCCCATAACCCTACAACCCTCTAAACGCTTAAACCCCATAAACCCTATAAAACTCCATACATTCCGGTACACCCTGTCAACCCTAGAAACCGTATAAACTCCATAAATCCCGTAAACTTCAGAAGCGCTATAGACGCTGTAAACCCTGGACGCCCTAAATGGCACTATAAACCCTGGCAACTCTAAAATCCCTTTAAACCCTATAAACCCTGCAAACTTTATATACCCTATAAACCCTAGCAACTTCCATGGTCCCCGACAAGCCATATCAACCCCATAAAGCCTGCAAACTCCATAAACCCTGCAAACCCTGCAAACTTCATAAGCCCTATAAACCCTATTCACCCTATAGACCCTGCAAGCCCTATAAGCCCTGTAAACTCCACAAGCCCTATAAACCCTAGAAACCCCAGACTCCCTATAAACCCTAAACCCTAAACCCTAAACCCTAAACTCGACCGAATGCCAAGGCCCGATCTCTGCCACACCCCGACGGCTCTTCTTTGCAAAGGCCTGTGGTCCTTCCGGGAAGAGGGTTTCGGGTTTTGGGGAGGTTTTGGGGGCTTTGGGGGGCTTTGGGGTTTAAGGTCTAGGGGTTAGGGTCTTGGGGGTTTGGGGCTGGGTTCAGGGGTTTGGGGAGATGAGAACCCTAAACCCTAAACCCCAAACCCCAAACCCTAAACCCTAAACCCTAAACCCTGAACCCTGAACCCTAAACCCTAAACCCTAAACCCTTACCGTAGCTACATCTCGTAGGGGTAATTACTTTGTATGGGTACTACTGGCCTCACTTACAACAACCCACAAACGAGCACCTAGGAGTGGTTAAGCTGTTTGTGGGCATGCTGAAAGTTTAAGGGTTTAGGGTTTAGGGTTTACGGTTCATCTGCATGCATTGTTTTTTTTGTTGACTGGTCGGTCTTGTCAGGCTTTAGAGTTTTGGCTTGATCCACGTGGCCTTGCCATTTTTGTTGTTGCTAGCAGGCTACCAAAGCCAAGGGACGTCAGGGGTGGCATCCTGACCACCCTAAACCCTAAACCCTAAACCCTAAACCCTAAACCCTAAACCCTAAACCCTAAACCCTAAACCCTAAACCCTAAACCCTAAACCCTAAACCCTAAACCCTAAACCCTAAACCCTAAACCCTAAACCCTAACGCCTAAACCCTAAACCCTAAACCCTAAACCCTAAACCCTAAACCCTAAACCCTAAACCCTAAACCCTAAACCCTAAACCCTAAACCCTAAACCCTAAACCCTAAACCCTAAACCCTAAACCCTAAACCCTACCCCCCAGTCCCTAAACTCACTTTCCCCTTCACCCCTCGGAATCTCCTCCTCAACAGCCCCATAAACCAAACCACCTGAAAGATCCAAGAGCCCTCAAGCCTGAAGACCCTGAGGACACCTACTACCCCCAAACCCCACTAAACCTGGGTTTTGGGTCTGGGGGTTTGGGGGTTTTGGGTTAAGGGTTTAGGGTAACCCTGCTGACCCTAAACCCAAAGCCCGCAGAGCCCTTGCAAAGGCCGCCACCTCAGTCCCCGGCTGAGGCCGGCGCGGCCAATGTGAAGGCTGGGTGCCGCAAGCTTCGCTTGGTCTGGGGGGTTTAGGGGGTTGGGGTTTAGGGTTCAGGGTTGGGGGTAGGGGGTTTTAGAGGGTTTTAGGGGGTTGGGTTTTAGGGGTTCAGGCGAACCCAGGCCAAAGAAACTCAAGTCAAAGGGAAACCCCGCAATATGCTCGATCTTCCAGATCGTACACGCTCGACCCCAACTCTGAACCCTAAATCCCAACCTCTGAAACCCCACAACCCCCCAAGCCCGAAATCCCAAACATCACACCAGGGAATCCTACAGACCCTCAACACCCTAAACCCTCTGATCCCCCCAACCCCTAAACCCCTTGAAGGGAAGTTTGAACCTACAACTTGCAGTGGCGAGTTTCACAGTTGCAGTCGCTAGTTTGAGCCTCGTTCCAAAACGGGATCCACAGTCCAGGCGTTGAGATCAGTAAACCTGCATGAGGAAAGGTTTGCGCTTCAGGTGTAACTTGCAGGCCTCACAGATTTTTTGGGTATAGCTCATGAAGATGTTTCTGCCAGGATTCTGCCATCCGGTCTTTGTTTTTATGGCCTACACCCCAAAAAACTCGTCGGAGGACGCGGAGCACAGCGCGACCGCAGCGCCCCAGTGCGAGGCGGGAGTATGGTTCGTAAACGGCTTGTATGCACCCTAAATCCCAAACCCCAAACCCAAAACCCCAAACCCTAAACCCTAAACCCTAAACCCCAGACGCCCGAAGCATTTAAGCCCGAAACCCTGTCCTTAACACCCCAAACCCTAAACCCTAAACCCTCCAAACCCTGTAAACCCTACACCCTAAACGCTCAAAGCCCTAAACCTCAAACCCTAAACCCCAAACCCTAAACCCTAAACCCTAAACCCCAAACCCTAAACCCCAAACCCTAAGCCCTAAACCCTAAACCCTAAATCATGGACGTCGAGTCGCTTTGAGGCCCGCGATGTGCACGTGGCCTTAGCGGGCGATGACCGGCACATGGAGGGGCTCCTCGTGTCTCGGCAAAGCTCAGGGGGCGTATGGAGATTTAGGGTTTAGGGTTTAGGGGTTAGGGTTTAGGGTTTAGGGTTTAGGGCTTTATAGTTCGAGCCCTTGGGTTGAGATAGGATATATAATAAGGGGTATATAAGGGGGTCCCTGTTAAAAAAGCGCCGCTTCTAGGGCTTTAGGTTTAATTAGGGTCTTCAGGGGGTGGGGTGTTGGCAAAGCTCGGGGAGGCGTATTGAGATTTCATAGAGCTTCTAGGGCGGTTTAGGGTTTATTTAGGGTTTAGGGTTTAGGGTTTAGGGTTTAGTGTTTGTTGACTTCCGGGTTTTGGGGTTTGGGGCAAAGCTCGGGGGGCGTATAGAGAGTTTAGAGGGCGTATAGGGCTTGGGGTTTAGGGTTTTAGGGGTTTAGGGTTAGGGGGGTATAGAGATTTTATGGGGCTTACTTAGGGTTTTTGTTAGGGTTTTAGGATTTTAGGGTTTAGGGTGTCTCGGCAGGCTTAGGGCTTTTAGAGGACTTGCAGGGGACTTACTGGGCCTATAGAGGACGTATAGGGGACTTATAGGGCCTGCTTACTGGGCTTATCGGGAACTTGTAGGGGGCTCATTAGAGGATTTACAGGGGACTTATGGGGCTTATAGACGACTTTATAGGGGACTGATAGGACTCAGAGAGGTTTTCTAGGGCTTCTATAGTGGGTTCAGCCTTAAGCTGGCGGGTTAGGGTCCAGGCTTTGGTAGGCGTTGCCTTTGTCTTTTGTCTTTGTTATTTTTCCCTGGCTGTGTGTCTGGGGCAGCTTTCGGTGTGGGTTTCTCTTATTTTGAGAGGCCTGTAGAAGTTCATTCCGCTGAG